CCCAGGATATATGGTATAGCCCATTGCTCCTAGTCTACAGACCCATTCAGCATGTTGCTGTACTGAATACTATAGGCAATTGGAACCCAATAGTAAGTATTTGTGTATCTAAACACATCTAAACAGAAAAGGTACAATAAAAATGGTAAAAGGATGAAAAATGATACACCTGTGTAGGGCACTTACTATGACTGGAGCTTATAGGAGTGGAGTTGCTCTGGGTCTGTTGGTGAGTGCACCTCGTGATGAGTGAACGTGAAGCCCTAAGACACTGCTGTACACCACTATAGACTTCATAAACCCCGTATCCTTAGGCTACATTCATTGATGGAGGCATTTTTCTTTCTTTAGTAATAACCTTTGATTACTATCACTTTTTTACTTTATTAATTTTTTAATTTTTTTAACTTTTTGATCTTTTAATAACATAACTGAAATATAAACATTGCATAGCTGTTCAAAAACATTTTCTTTATATCCTTATTCTATAAGCTTGTTTCTGTTTTTGAGTTTTTTTTACCTTTTTAAACTTTTTTGGTAAAAATTAAGACACAGACACACACATTAGCCTAGGACTACACAGGATCAATATCATCAATATCACTGTCTTTCACCCCCACATCTTGTCTCACTGGAAAGTCTTCAGGGGCAATAACTCACATAAAACTGTCATCTCCTATGATAACAATGCCTTCTTCTGCAATACCTCTTGAAGGATCTGCCTGAAGCTGTTTTACAGTTAACTTTCAAAAATAAGTAGAATATACTCTAAAATCATAATTAAAAGTATAGTAAATACATAAACTACATAAAAGTATATATAGTAAATACATAAATATAGATACAATAAAAATATAGTAAATACATAAAAGTATAGTAGCTATATAACTGGTTTTTATATTTACTAAACTGGTTATTAAAAGTAGAATAGACTCTAAAATATTGATTAAAAGTATAGTAAATACATATACTCTAGTAAGATCAAGTATTATGTACTATACATAATTGTAAGTGCTGTACTTTTATACAGCTGACATCACAGTAGGTTTATTTACCAATCATCACCACAAGCATGCGAATATGCATTGTGCTATGATGTTACCAGTGCTGTGACATCACTAAGTGATAGGAATTTATCAGCTGCATGATAATGTGATGGGGCCACTGTCATATTTGCAGTCTGTCATTTGCTGAAACATCATTATGCAGAGCATGACTCTGTATTAAAGATGATAAGAAAAACACACAAATAATATACCACAGGTAGAAAATGATTGTAATGTGAGACAGTAAAATAAAGTATTATAGAAGTTTACAGGAGGAAGACATTATTTCTGTGAAGATTAGAGAAATTGGCACATAGAAAGTAGCATTGAAGGCAGAGTAGATTTGGGACATGTGAACATAGGGGAGTTCCAGATGAGGGAGGGGCATGGGAAATAAGTGATTAAGTAGGAACACAGATGTGGGAAATGGAGCAGGGGGAAGAAGTCTGGAAGGGCAGGTGGGCACAGGGTAGAAAGTTCTTGAATGCCAGTGTTAGGAATTTAGAATTCTCTGAAGGCACTTGGGAGCCACTGAAAGTTTTTGAGCATGATGGTTGTAAATGGGAGGGTGGTATGCTTAGGTGTGTGCTTGGAGGAGGTTAATCAAGTAGTAAAACAGAGGATGGCTTTAATAGGGAGAAAGTGACAGCAACATGGACAATAGGCAACTAAAGCAGTCACACCAGGTGAAAGCTAATGTGGGTCTAAGGTTGAGTTAGGAGGAATGGAGAGTTAGGAATGGATCTAAGGGTGAGGTAGGAGAAATGAATGGATGGATATAGGTAGGATTTTACAGTTAAATCAGTAACACCTCTCAATTCATTGCAAGTGAGAAGAAGCAGGAGAGAAGGAAACATTTTAAAAATGGAGCTGAGGTTTTAAACCAGATTAACTGGAGGGTCAAAGGAAGGAACAGAGATGGAAGAGTAGATTTATATGGGAAAATATGAGCTTGTTTCGATGATACTGAATCTGCAGTGCTAAAATTTATGATGTAGGCTTGCCGTTCTTGTGGTTAAAAATGGAAGACAAGTGTTGAGACAAGCCAAAGGTTGAGACAAAGGCGTAGAAACCATCCACCTTGTGGAACGGGCTCTCATCCTTTTCAAAGTGGAGCCATGCCATGTAGAGCAGACACTGCAGGCTTGATGGGAATGAGGCATATCTGGCTCAAAAACATGTTTATTTGTGTGTTTTTAGAAGTATACATATTAAACCAACATTTTAAAATCAGGAAATTATACTTAAAGCGTTGATTTCTGGCTTCCGTTTTAAAAATCAAAATTGTACTTTGATGTTAGCACAATTAAAAAATCATATCACTATGATTTTTAAAAATCAAAAGATGTGATTGTAAAAGTTTTTTTACAATTTTAAAATAAATAAATAAATAAGATGTGACTAACTATGAACTCACATTGCCACATGACAACAACAGCTAGAGCTGAACAGAGACTGCCCCCTTGAGATCCTGGATGAATTCTCGAACTCACCACAGTACTCACCACTTCCCCTCATCTCCTAAGGCTTTAATTGAAAGTCAGTTACTAAATCTATAGAGAAAAAGAAAAAATAGGTTAATAGTTGCCAAGAGCTGGATGTAGGCAGGGAATGGGGTGTTGGGAACTGGTGGCCAGTGGGTGTGGGATTTCTTTTTAGGGGGATGAAATGTTCTACAGTTAATGGTGGTGATGGCTGAACATCTCTGTGAATATAGCAAAAGCCACTTGAAATCAGAGGATGTATGATAGCAAATTATCTCAATAGAGCTGTTTTTCTAAAATGCAAATGTAGTTGCTATTGCCCTTGCAGTGTTGGTTTTCTTATAGTAGAAAATATTTTTCTATAAGTCTATTTCTATCAAAAAAGGGAAAGTAAAAAGTCAGACGGAGAGGGTTGTGAATTTCAAGAAAAATGGTAAAGACTGTCTCTCTTAGTGTGGGTAAAGAATTTCTACATGTTAATATGCAAGCACCTGGCCTCTTTCCTAATGTACTTTATTTTCCTGGACACTGAAAGCATTTGGTATTAGACAAGAAAAAATGTGGTCATGCCCCACTCCCTAAGGTCCACCCACAACTAAGAAGAAAGAGAAAACAAAGGCAGAGAAAGGAAAGGAGTAATCAACATGGTAAAAGGAGAAGCAGAAGAGGCCAGTAGATTGGATGCCAAGGAAGGGGGAAGCTTTATCAACTGCTGACAAGAGGTCAAGGAGGATGAGGCCAGGGAAGTCAGGAGGTCATGGGAGACCATCCAGTGAGGGGGCTGAGAGAGGTGAAGCCAGAGAGAGATGCAGAGGCAGCTGACAAAGTGCTCAGCGTGCATTGTTCAGGAGACAGTATTTAATCTCAGGCATGAAGGACTACTGAAGGTGTTTTAAGTAGGGGAATGATGTGATCAGATCGGAACAATCTAGATTATTTGTGTTCACAATAATTTGTGCATATTTTGAACTGTGTGCATGATGAACTGAGGTTACCCCAAATTTTATTCTTTCTTACCCTGAATTCTCCTTCAATCTGATATCCCCAGGCTTGTTGAGACCTTGGTTATTGATTTCCATCTCATTCATTCCTGTTCCTGCTTGAACCAGGAAATATATATATATGGTTGGTGTTATCTGACCCTGGGGTTCTCAACTTCAGCACTGCTATATTTTGGGCTGGATAATTCTTTGTTGTAGGATGCTGTCCTAAGCATTATAAAATGGTTAGCAGCATCACCAGCCTCTACCCTCTAGATGCCAGTAACACTGCGAACACTTTAAACCACCCTCCAGCCAAGAACCACTGAACTACATTTTTCTATTGTAGCATTTGGGCCCAGGTGCTTAAGGCCGTGTGCAGTTAGTAGACCACCCTGGAAGGTGTTTGCCCTGGAAACAAAAGACCAATTCCTACTCCACACTGAGGCATACAAATCAGATGATGCAGTAAGGGGGCAACAGATGACACACTCAAGACCTCATTTTGTTTTAACTAATTCAGTGGACTTCAACCTGTATGTAGTCTCCTCATAGAAAAAAGATCATATCTGGAGGCTACAAGGCACACTAAATGCCCAACTGTGACCTCCTAAGGTTAGGATTCCTGTCATGGCCCAGGGCCAAAGTGGGTTCAGAAGAGCCCTCGGGCACAGGGCACAGGGGTTCAGAGGAGGCCATGGGATGTGCTAGACATGATAGTGGGAGCTGGCTTCTATACAGCAGGACTTGTTGGCTTGCCTTCAAGGGGGAAGGAGGAGGTAGGGAGCAGAAAGGGTTTTCTCATGGTGATGTCAAGAAGGGTCAGCAAAGCTTTGGAGATGTAAGATGCAACTTGGAGGAGGCTAGGAACTCAGATAAAGTTTACTTCAGACCCTCCTCCTTATAGGAAAGTCTTAGAAGGTAAAGGAATGTTTTTCTTGGAATAGGGATGTCTAAAACAGATTACCTATGAAATTTTGAGATCTTCCAGATTCCTTTTTTGGGTGTGTGTATACAAGGGGTGGGAGGACAAGGGAATTTTATATGTATATGCCACCATTTCTATATTGATAAGGAAAATTGAGTTAAGACTCTTGTCAAGCTAAAAATGTCTAACAACTCCATTAAACTAAGACTATTTCATAACTGGTTCTTATTCCGTGGAGTAGCATTATGCCTTTGATATTGAATGGCTACATTTACTAGTAGCAATGGCTCTGAGCTGTCTTGCAATACAACCTCTTTTTGATATATAACTCTGTTATTATTTGGCCCAGTAGTGGTCACTTTCACCCAGGCTGAAGGAAACCCCTGCTGGTTTGTTGTCTCATATTCCTTAACCCCTGTCCTACTTCACTAATTCCTCAAGTTCTGTGGTAATGAACTGAGCCTCCAAGTGCTCTCTGGGCAATGAGTAATGTCTGAACTTCATGTGAAATGCCATCTCAAGAAAGGTCATCTGAAAGCATGCTTTTACCATTTCATTTCAGGCACTTCTGGATCCAGCTGTGTGATAGCTGCACTAGGAAATACCTGGAGTCACAGTGTGAATACCCGGCTGATCCTCCAGTACCTTGATTCAGAGAGAAGACAGGTGAGTGCTTTGACAGTATTCTCTGACTGTGAAGGTTGGAGAATGAGATGTACTGAGCAATCTGAGCATCTTCTGAAAATGCTGGCCACATTGTCTGTCCTGGGCCAGCACTGGCTAGTAGGACATAAAGAAACCAGCATTTCTGCTTGTCCCAACAGCAGTTATAATAAAGTGGGGAGACAAGTCACACACAGGAAAATATGTAAGAATTGATTCCCACAAAGTCAGCATTTCTCTGATATTTGTAAGTGACCAAGGACCACGTCTCTAAGGGTATCCAATTCTCTATCTCTAAATGATAATTTCACTTAGAATGTATTTGCTGAGGATTAGATAATTTGCATATGAATTAAATAATGATGATGCTTTTTCTTGGAGTATGTGTACCTTGAAAATCTTAGGCCAACAGATGCTGCCAAGTGAATAAACTACTCCCCAGACAATAGGTACTTTTGCATTAATGCATACGCCTGTAGTGTAAAGTACTGAATGATGCTAGAAAGACCTCCAAATAGTTGATCACCGTCTCAGAGTTCCCTATTTGTGGTTTCTATACTGGCCAAAAGTGAGAATCCTTCCCTTACATCCAGAAAGTTTACCTTCTACCTCCTTTTAAGTCTTCTCTCTTCATTCTTCATTCCAAAGAAAAGGACACCACTGTCTGACTTCTTTGGTAAAGCTTTGGTAAAATGTTTCACAATAAAAAAATGTCTTTTTCCTGATGACTAACCTCAATTGTATCCTGCTGTGTGACCAGATTCAATCTAGTTTCTCCTAAAAGCAGGAGGAAGAAGAAGATGGGTGATTATTTTGATTTTTTGGATAGGACAGAATTCAGAAGCCAGATTTGCCCACCTTGCTAAATATATATCAAATCCAGGCTATTTAGATACAGAGGCATGAAATGTCACTCTGGTGATCCTTTCTGGAGAAAATGGCAGAAAAGTTGTTGTTGCCTTTACGTGCATTAGGTAAACTGGCTCTTTTCCAAGGAAGCAGGAATCATCAAAAACAGGCATCAGCTATTGCCTGTTCTAGACATAATTTTCCAAATGCCCTTGGTTAGAAACCAGAGAATTCTTCTTGGTTTGCCTTGGACTATGTAAATAATATTCCAGCTTGGTGATCAAGTCAGCCATGCCTGAGAAGATAGAGTTGCTTGTTTCTATTCAGGGAAACATTCTTGAGTTTTCAGGCCCTGGACTACTCATTACGTCAATGGTACCTTTTCCCTGATGAGTCTGGTATCCCAGGTTCTGAAGCTATTTTTTCTCTTTTTAGTGGAACACATTCCAAAATATTCCTGGAGAATCTAATGGCCTTTGGTAGTAAATCATGCTAAATAGCTGTGTTGCACCTTTCAGGGATATCATTAAGGATTGTCAAACACGCCTATGTAAACTTTATCAGAGGAAGCAAAATTCCTCGTGAATCAGTGTTGACTCATTCATTTTCATGGATCCTTGATCCCACTCCTTCAAAATTTGTAGTTTGTCTCTGCTTTAGATTTTAGATTTTAGAAGCCATTCTTACTGTTACACACGGAGTTTATGACTTCATCTATTATATATGGTATCATGAAATCAAGGCTCCTAAATCCTAGTTTTACTAATTCCAGTTAGAATTTATAAGTGAATAAAGAAGTCAGAGCCATATTTTACTTTTTCTTTTGTTTTAATAAATTAACCAGTCAGTGTCAACAGGAAGTAGCTGGTAGGACAAATGCTATTTTTTTATGTTTCTTTGGTGACTGGAGGATGTTGGTGGCTCTTGGCTTTTGGCTGACAAGGTCAAACGCAGGCCAGTGGTCATAAGGAGAACCAGGAGCAAAGTGTGGATGGATCAGTGACAGTTCATCAACTCACATCCCATTAGATGGGTCAGTCATGTTATCTTAATTTACAAAAGACAACTTGTTACTATCATTACGAAGCAATAAGATGCCTTGGAATCATGTTTTCAAACAATTAATATAAAACATGGCCAGTGTTAAAATGGCCAACCCAGGCAAAGAACATACATTTAATTAATCGATAGAAATATGCATGCCTTTGAGGACCAGTTGTTAAACCTGTGACCTAATAACTGGAATAAAGTTTGATATAGAAAACGTGTCTCTGTCTGGTGACCTTATCTTGCCTTAGCAGAGGGTGTGCTTCGTGATTCCCTGAGTCTTCCCTGTGGTTTTTTTTTTATGAAAAACTATAGAAGCCGTATGAAGCTAAGCCTTTTCTGGGATATGTGCACAAAACAGTACTTTAAAGCTAACATTTAAGGTAATTGCACCAAGTAGTACTTCCTTATAACACCATTTAGTAGCAGAACGTGCCTGGATCATTCTAGGGTAGTTAGACCTCTGGGACACCAGCCACTTAGAGAAGATAACAGGTATAGTTTTTTTATTTTTAGGTTTTTTTTTTCAGTGCCCTAGCAGAGGCCACTACACCCAGGGATCAAGGTTATGGGATGAGGATTATGTTTTATCCCGTTTCTATGACATTGAGCTCTACACCAGGGCTCTTGAATGTGAGGCTTAGTTTCAGATCACAGTCCTGGAAGGGGGTCAGATCAAGCTGAGCAGACCTTCAAGCCGATTAACCCAAGAACTGAATTGTGTCGTCCGAGGGAAGGAGTCCTCCCTGGCTGATTATTTTCTTTACACCCTGGAAACTGCAAAATTTTAGAACCAAGAAAGAAATCTCCTTATCAGGGCCACAAGCCAAGTTAATTCTCTTGCTTATTCTGCTTCAGTGTTTGCAAAAACTCTCTTAAGAAGCTGGAAAACATTTTCTTTTGGACTAATTTAGCTTTTTTTCCATTTGACTTTTATTTACTCTTTTCCTACTCTGCTTCAGTCCTGCCCCACCCTTTTTGCAACATTTTTATTCTTACCAAAGACATGTTCTTAGAGTAGAATTAAAATGGCCTCTCCTACTTTTTGTAGTTGTTGTTGTTTTAAACCATCGAAAATATGTTTTGGTCTACCCTGTGCATGGCATGGGCATATAAAGAAGTAAAGACTAGTTCCTGCTCTCGAGGCCCAAACAAACCAATACTGAGGCACTGCCACAAGGCAGTGTTTGATTTGTTGTCTAATGGGTGGTTAAAACAGTAATTGCTTTGAATCCAAAGGAAGGTAACATCATCAGAGACATATTAAGTCTTTTCAGGAAAAGGTGAGACTTGAGTATTACCTTAAAATTAGTGATTCTTGGCAGGACGCAGTGGCTCATGCCTGTAATCGCAGCACTTTTGGGAGGCTGAGGTGGGTGAATCATCTGAGATCAGGAGTTCAAGACCAGCCTGACCAACGTGGTAAAACCCCATCTCTACTAAAAATACAAAAAAAAAAAAAAAACATAGCCTGCCATGATGGCGCATACCTGTAGTCCCAGCTACTCAGGAGGCTGAGGTAACGGAATCGCTTGAACCCAGGAGGCAAAGGTTACAGTGAGTAGAGATTGCACCACTGCACTCAAGCCTAGGTGACAGAGCAAGACTCTGTCTCAAAAAAAAAAAAAGAAAAAGAAAAAAATCAGTGGTTCTCAAACCTGGCTGCACTTAAGGCTCATCACAGGAGCATTTATACCAATGCCAATGCCCCACCCTGACCAGTTAAATCAAAATCTCTGCCAGTAGAGCTGAGCATCCGTGTTTATTTTATTTGTAAAGCTCTCCCATGTGATTCTAATGTGCAGCCAAGGTTGGGAACCTCTGCCTTAAATAATAGATAAAATTCAGGTAGTCAGAAAGGGGAAGTCCTGGGGTAGAGTGAGCTGCAGCTGAAGAACAGGAGGATAGGCTGCATCATCAGAGAGCACAGGCTGGGTTTTGTCTTGTAACAAGAGCAGAGGGTTTGGGCGCTCATTCACTTAACAAACCTTTATTTAATCACCTCTTCTCTGCTAGTCACTGTGTAACTAGTTGTGCTGGAGATTCAAAAAAAAAAGAAAAAAAAAAAAACAGGTAAGAGATGGTTGATACCCTCTGGTTGTTCACAGTCTACTTGAGGAAACAGATAAGCATGCAAACCGGACTTGCAGTAAGAGCACAGTGAATGAAGTAAGTGTAGAGGAGATGGGGGGTCCCGCCACTAAGGAAGGTTCTGTAGCGATTAATGAGGCAGAGCATGCAGAGAGGAGTGGAGGGTTGGAAAAGCTAGAGTAAGGCTAGTTATACTTGAAAGAAGGAAGAGAAAAACTCGATAAAAACATTCACATTTATACAATTTCTCCTCAAATCCTCATGAAGTCTGGTCTGACAAACCACAAATGGGATTATATAAATTTTCAAGTGCCCTAGAAGGAGTAATGAAGTAAATGAATCCTGACTAAGCCTCACACCCCCTTGATGAAATAAATATTATGACTCTCTTATTTCAACAAATTGGAAAGAGGTCTTTTTTTTATGTAGGAGGTTTATTTAAACGAACTTTCTAATAATATTTTCATTTCTATTTAGGAGGCACCCTGAAATTATGGGACGCTTGAGGGGCGAGCCTAAAGTACCTAGTAAATTGTTGACAGAACTAATATCACTCAAGCTGCTGATCCACACTTGAATCTGTAGGCTTTTCTCAAAGTCCCAGTTTTGCATCTTAGAAGTATTGCATCTTGGAAGTATTGCTTTGCATCTTGCAAATATTCAGTGTTTCCTTTCTGGTGATAGGATTCTCAGTGTCCATTTTATATTTTCAAAGACTCAAATATCATCACAGTGAAGACTTCCCTGACACCAGCTGTGATCCATCCCTCTTCCCTCTGGCCCACACTTGCACCTGGCCCTTGTCTCTATTCTTAGACTTCTGAGCCCTGAATTATGAGCCCCTTGAGGTTTGTGACTGAATTTATCTGCGTACCCTCAAATGTAAGGGCAGTGCTTGACACTTACACAGTAGATACATTTATTTTGAAAGACAGAGAGAAAGCAAGAAAAAGAAACACGCTCCATGTAGCTACGCGTGAACCCAGTCTGAAGGACGAAGGACTGCTTATTTAGAA